TAATGGGTCCATCAGATCTTAGTTTACAGCCTACTCCATCTGCCTACCTAGTAGAAATTGATCATCTCAGTTGTGACCATTTTCCTGATGAGGAAAATAGGAACTAGTTTTTTCTAGCCTAAAGCAGTCTAGGGGGAGAGGGGGGGGGGCGTGTCAAAGGCACTCTGCAGGAAGCCTTTCTAGACTTGGCCAGATGTTCCGAAAGCACTTACAACCTTCCCACCTCGCTCCGTACCCACCCGCCTCGGGCTTCCTCCCCACTGATTTCCTCTCTTCCTTAAGAGGTTTGCTTTTTTGGATTCTCAGCACGTAGTTCAAAGATGGGGATCAGATCTGTTACAAGAGCTGTTGGGCTCTGCGCTTGGGCCAGAGGAGGGTGGAGGTGGGAACGAGATGGATGTGTCCGATGAGGACGGGGGCAGAATGTGCTAGATCCCTGGCGAGGTGTCATAAAATGAACAAAATGAACGCCGAGGCGGCCACGGAGCGGAGATTTGGGAACCGAACCAAGTGCCTGCCGCAGGGCTCTTGGGGCCAGAGTGACGTGGCTCCATCAGGTGGAAAGCCTGCAGCTCTCCCCCGACCCCACTCGTGAGAGAGAAAGATGTCTAAACAGCCAGGACCATCGCCGCCACAACCATGCCCAGGCCGAGGGGGAGGGAGGGAGGAGCCTTCTCTGCTGAAACGGCGGCCGGGGCTTGTTTGTGGGTTCGCGATTCACCGTGATAAATGGAAAGACCAATTAAGGTCTGATCCGAGCACACGGGAGGCAGACGGTGGCTGATAGTGGAACCAATTAACGAGCATGTCCCCTAGTTCCTGCCGCGGCCGCACGGTGGATGCCCCGGCGCCTGCGGCGGCTCCCTCCGGGCTCTGGAAAGGGCTGTCCTCCTCCCGAGAGAAGGTGCGAGGAGCGGGGCCCCGAGGTGGCTGGGGAGGGCCGTGCCCTGCGGGGAGGCTCGGAGCCAGCCGCCTACGGAGCCCAACTGTTTGCCACCCGGGCCGGGCGGATGGGGCGCGCCCGAGTCACCCGCCGGGCGGGGACGGCGGCTGCAGGGCGCCCGGGCTCAGCCTGGCGGTGCCCCGAGGGCGGAGGACAGGTGGCTCAGCGGCCGCCGCCAGGTAGCGAGCGGCTCGGGAGCTGCGCGGCCCGATCCCCAGGTTTCGCTTGCACGGGGCCCGGCTGGCGCTGCCCGCGGCGGGGGCGACCTGGCTCAGTTGGTCGGGGGCTCCAGGCAGCCCCCCCGGGTCCCGGGCGCCCTCGGCCTCTCCCCTCTCACTCCCCTTTCCCTTCCGGCTCATCCGGCCGCCCCAGACGTGACCCCCGCGCAAGGTGCTGGTGCTGCGCACAGCCGGGGCTGCGTGATGGATGGCCCCAAGGTCGGGGGCGGCGCGGGCACCAGCCTCTCCCCAGCTCGGCCGGGATGTGAGGGTATCTGGGAGCAGAGCCAGGTCATGGCAGTGGGGGCCCCTGGGGACCGCGGCGGCGGAGGAGGAAGAGGAGGAAGAGAAGCAGGTGACTCGGGTCGGAGGGGCTCCTCCTCTCTGGCCCCGGGGCGGGCTCCCAGGCCAGTCCCCCGCGGCAGCAAAGTTTGGAGCCCCTGCGCGCGCCGCGCCGGTCCCTCCCCGCGCAGTTTCCTCGGCGGGGTCCGTGCCTCCGTCGCTGCCCGGGCAGGACAAAGGCTCATTAACACGTGATGGACCGCGCCTCATAAATGGGACTGGATCGCGAGGGAGCCAGAGACAGCGCGCGAGCGGAGGGAGAGGCAGGGACCGCGCGAGCTGGGGGAGGCGCCGCGCACCCGGACCGGCGGAGACGGGCGGCCCCACGCCGCGCCAGGCTGGGCGAGCGGGAGGACCCGTGCAGCGCCCGGGGAAGGGGCGAGGCTCGCGGGCGGAGGGGGCTCCCAAAAACGATCCTTGTCAC